GACCGTAATTCTTGCGCAATATTACGGGCCGTAATATCTTACGTAAGATTACGTTTATATAATTTGCTGATGTAGTAAGGCACATTCAATAAAAAAGAGATTATTTAATTTTTTTTTTTTAAATTCGGTAGTCATGCCAAAACTTTATTAAATATAACGCACTCGACTATACTATCTCATACAACTGTTTAAAACTGAAACACTAGCTCCGAACATCTAAATTACAAGTTTTGACTGGCCCAGTTACTTCAAAAGCATTTATTTCCAACTTGCTATAGTAGTTTTCACCTCCTTATATACTCTTTCTGCAATTGAAAGAGTATATATATCAACAGTAAGCACTACAGCTTGTTATGACTGCTAATTTCCTTAAGACCCTCCTCTTCTTAATATTCAAGCAAGAGGATTCTACAATCCTTGCCTCAAGAACAACAAGTATGCTAAAAAAAACTAAACTAATAAAAGATAGATAAAAAAAAGGAGGAAGATACTACAAAACCTAAATAATAAAAGAAAAAAAAATAAAATGATAAAAAAAAAGGAAGAACAAAAAGAAAAAAACAAAGACAAAACAGCACCAGATATACTAGTGCTGGTAAAGTTTAAAAAATTATTTAATACTTCATAAAACAATCCCCACCTTCGCTTTACTTCGATATTAAAATATGCTTTATATGTAGGAAATACCAAATTTTTTTTGTTTATCCCAGTAATCCGAAACCAACAGATTGCTATCGTTTACATGTTCGTCTACAGTCTTCAGAGGTATAGTACATGATTTCTTTGTGACTTGCCATCCCAATTTGGCAATGTAAACAATGTCAATCATTCATAGAAGGTACATCGAAATTTCTACTTTTTGGAAAAAATTTTGAGAGAAACACCAAAAAACCCGGCAGGAATATGGAAGGTGGTTTGCGAAGTCAGGTACTTTTAAAATTTTCAAAGGAGTGTATTGAGATCCACAAATATTTGTTGTTTCTCCTGTGTTTTTGTTAACAGCCTAAGAGCTTCGTCAACGAATAAGACTTTGTCTTTCTACCAAGATTTTTTATATAAGGGCACTGCCTGCTAGTTATTTTATATAATAATGCTTCTGGTTTGCATACCAAACGTCTTTTAGAGGAGTCCTGTAAACTTAGAAAGCATTAACCTCTAGACAAACCGCTATATAGACCATGACTTTCCAACAAAATTTGTGGTTTTCTTTAGTAAAAAATTTTGATATAAGTGATTGTTGGGAAGAGTTGGATATTTGCATGAAAGAGTTTATTTAATTCTAATTACTAAATTCTAAAATATTTTTAAAAAAATATTTTAGTTTTAATAAATTAAATTAAAATTAAACAAAACCAAATTATAATCTATATTAGGAATAAAATTATTTAAATTAATTTGCTTTAGATTTAATTTTATTTTATTTTATATTAAATCTTTTTTGTGCATTGTACAGATTTGTAGCTTAATAATTATAAAAGTTTTACTATATATTTATTTTATTTTAAAATTATATTTAAAAATTTTATATATAAGTTTATTCTTATGCATTATTGTACAGGTTTACAACTATTATTCTAATAAATATTTATTTAAAATTATAAATATTCTATAAAATAAATAGACAATATAAAAAATAAACTTCACTAATGGTTAAAGAAGGGTCAGAAATCAGCTAATATTTTAGAAGGGGGTAAAAAAATTATCAGGTATATAGTTTTAGCCAATTAAAATTTTTTATTTAATATTAGGTAGAAGGGAGTTAGGCTCTTAATAAAAAAATATCAGTTAATAAATAGCTCTGCTTTTACTAATTATTAATAGATACTTAGCAGAATTGTAAAGTTTGTGAAATTTGTCTGCCTATTTTATAGAACATCTACTATTAATCTATTTTTTTTATTTAATTAGAGAGTGACAAAAATCAGATGATTTTTTGAAAAAAAGATGATAAAAAAAGTTAAAATTATATATAAAAATCTGATCAAATCTATATTACAAAAGGGTATGCTACTGATAAAAAAAATCTGGTGATAAATAATACTGCTCTTATATAAATCAATAAAATTAAAAATTAAAAAATTTTATCACTTTTGATAAGTAGTTATTGAGATATTTTTGTTTAAATTTTAAAAAACTTAGCTGTAATTTTTGTTTTAATAATTACCAATTTTTTTAAAAAATTTAAACAATAATATTTTAATAGCTACTTATATAAACTCAATAAAAATTTCTTTATTTTAATTTTATAATCTATAGAGTTAAATTAAAAAATTTCATTAATATTAAGTAATAATTATTGAGATATCATTACTCAAAGTTTATAAAATAATTTAACCAATTATTAAAACAAAGATGGTGATTAAGTTTTTTCAAACTTTAAATAATAATATAGTCAAGTTTCTCTAAATGCAGCTTGCCAGAACCTATAAAATTTTCTTAAATAAAAAAAAAATCCTGCATTTAGAGAGAACATGCACTAGTTTATTATAACTTTATATAGCTTGGGACCAAAAAAAAACCTGCATTTAAAGAGAATTTAATATGATCTGCACTTAGAAAACATGCATTTAGAGTGAGTTGACTGTATTTCAATAACTACTTATTATTTTAATTTATCGATTTTAGATAAATAGTATTGAGTTATTTTTGAAAATTTCCTTCACGGCTAGGGTACTTAGACAATTATCAATGATCGGTAACATGCATAACCGAGCACAGAATTTTTTAATGCTAGCCAATCGTACAATTTCTTACAATAAATGACCGGGTCAGTCAGTAACCCGGTTTGTAACCCGGTTAACAATTTATAACGGGTAAGTAAACCGGAGCTTAAATTTATGCGGGTACAACCTCTATTCCCTTATTTCGTGTGGGAAATTTTATGAAAATACAATATACGACATGGAGTATACAAACTCTATACACTAAAATTAACTTTTTTCTCCGAAAAATATCACCATAGAAGGACTGGTGATCATGTTTTTGATCTTCATAAATTTCCAATACAGTAATATGAATGTCTTCTCATGGGTAAATCAAGATCGTATCTCGTCAACTCTTACAGTTCCGGATCCTACTTAAAATTTGTTTTCCGGATCAGATCCAGATCTTTTAAAATATTCATTCTATCCTTGCGGAACACTAATTTTAAAGCGAGCCGAGCTGGGCATAAAAAATAAGAAATTTATAGTTAATAACGATAATCTTAAATAAGCTTAAACAGATCATAATTTTCTATAAAAAAAAAAAACGGTTTACGCTTTAATTATAACAATAATAATGTAGAACACTATTTGTATTAAATGATAAACGAACAATACACCTTTTAGGGGGCCTCATTCTAGTGCAAATACGGCTGAATCTATGTAACCTCCAGGCCAGAATTACCAATGATCTACACAGGACTTCTAGTTTCAATGTGGTCGCAAGAGTAACGTTACCGAAAACTTATAAAGATACATCTTACAACAATCGTCCTTATTTCCGATACAAGACAAACTTCACAAGAGATTGAAAAGAAGTTTGCGAATTCCTACTTTTTGGCAAGGCACAAGTACCGAGTTTCTGGTTAAGGTAAGTTGCCTATACAAAATTTAAAGTTAATATTTAACAATACGAAAGCTAACGTTTTAATACATAAAATTGACTAATAAATTCTTCTGAGTTCTTTAGCTCTGAATCGATTGCACCATTTTGTATATGGAATCACCTATGTCGGAATCTAAATATTCATTTCCGAATCCGACTCCGCCTTACGATTCCAAATCCATGTCCTTTAAGTCACATACAGATCAGAATATGTCTGTCTCTCTGACTCCCTCTCCACCCATCCCATCTCCAACTTCTGAACCCTACCCATCTCGTTCACTTGCACCCCTTGAGCCTTCACATTCTGCAATACCCTCTTATTTAACGGCACAAAGACGAGGTTCCATTACAGATCCTTCACTCCATATGTCAGTTCCAAATCCAGAATTGGCAAGACAATATTCTCAGCCTGATGTTAATTTTCCTTCAAATTCTGGGTCTGGATCTTCTGAGCGTCGTAGTTCATTTATATCAGATCAGTTTCCACCATCACCATTTTCATCCTTATCACGCTCGTCTTCTGTGAAAGGCGAGCAATCAATTCAATCTTTTTCACCTCTGGAAACACGCAAACTTAGGGATGCATTACCATCAATTAGCGCTAGCGCAAGTCCCGTTAGGGATGGCTTTCCAGGGCCATTAATGAATCCCGCTTTTCAAGCACAATTACAACCACGACGCCATTCTATTGCTGTTGGAGAAGTTGTTGCACCCCTCAAAAGAAAAAATAATATTGTCACACCAGCACCAACTCAACCAATTATGCCAGAAGGTTATCCAGTGAAACGACGAGAATCTGTTGGAGATCCAAGCATACAGCGATTGTCATTATACGATCGAAGAAATTCTTATTCTGCACCCTCTAGTCCTCCAGCACCGCCATCATCATCTCTCAGTAATTCTCTACCCAAACTTAATGTGCAGGATGTGGAGAGTAGTTTACAAACTCATAATGAATCATGTGCACTTCCTACTTCATATAATGATAATGTACCAGATCACCCAGGAGCAAATAATATGTCAACATCGCATATTGGTGAACAAAATGATATTTCAATTGCTTATCCACATTTTAGCAATCCTCGTTTATCTCAAATTGTTCAAGAGGAAGTTAGTGCCCCAATATTGGCTCGCCGTGCTTCCATGCCTGTTATGACATTTCCATCTCGATTTACAGAATCTGTTCAACAAGATGGTGTGCCCATGGACGTTGATCGTTATCGTTCTCAAGTTTATCCTACTCATCATCATTCATACCATCCTTATGCTTATGATTATCCTGGTTATATTCAACAACCACAACCGGTTAAGGAGACTCCTTACTCCCGTTCTCCTGAATTAAGGATATCTCATAAGCTAGCGGAACGAAAAAGAAGAAAGGAAATGAAAGAACTTTTTGATGAACTTAGGGATTCATTACCTGTAGATAAAAGTTTAAAGACGAGTAAATGGGAAATTTTAAGCAAAGGTATAATTTATCTTAAAGGATTTTTTTTTTCCTTTCCAATTTATATTAATCATTTTTCCTTTTATAAGCTGTTGATTTTATCAACACTTTGAAACATAATCAAGATGAAATGGCCAAAGAGGTAGAGACATTGAGACAGCAACTCGCTGCGTTTAAAGGGTGTGGCAGCAGGTAGGGTTTGTAAGATAATATCTTTTCTATTTTATTAATATTTAACAAAAGATTGAATTTTAATTATATTATTGATTTTATTGTATGGTATTTCAATAGTGAAACCAGCACACCAGCATCATCGTAATTTATATCTGCCATCGAATATGGCAAAATTTTTATTAAAAAACTCCTAAAAGAATTTTTGAATCACCTTTTTCAGAGGAAAACATTAACGAATGAATTACACTTCGTTAAATTTGTATCATATTTTGAAAAAAATCTTTGGATTCGGTTTTTTTTTTTTTTGTACATTCCATTTTTTCTACCTTATTTTTTCCTTTTATGACGACAGTAAATATTTTCCTTCCTTTTTTCCAAATGTAATACTTTCGTTATTGTTTTTTCCTTGAATTTATCTTTTTATAACTTGGAAATATTATTGATTAGACGTAAGGTGGTTAAATTTTATTCTAGTTTTTTCATTCGAAATGAAGAACATTTATTATGTGACATTGAATTATATTATTATACTCGTGAATAAAACACCAAATACTACGAGATATCTATCGTTTTTACAACACTTATCCATTTTGTTAGATTGTATAGAATATCTGAATAAAAAATTAATTTTTATGTAAATTATATTTTACTTATTAAACAAAAATATCATTATGTATTCATTGAAGGAAAAATAGACTTAAGATTTTATTGGTTTTAAGAATATCTGAATAAAGAACTGGGTCTGCAGTTCTAGTCTCTTTGTCATGTGACCTACAGATTTATTGTAATCTTTTGGCAATGATCTGCAGCATCTAATTAAAATTGCTGTTAATGGAATATATGTTTCAGAACTTTTCGGAACACGTGAGGTAATGTATAACTGTCGTGTAACTCCGTGCATATTCAATTAAAAAAAAATACCCGCCAATATATATTAACCCCATATACCTCTTTACAAATAAAGTCGTGAATGGTACAGTACATACACACTGTACATGTATGTACGTACGTACGTATGTATGTACCTGGTACGTACGTACGTACGACTCGAACGATTTGATTTTTAAGAAGTCTTGAGATTAAACCAGCTTTATTGCCAAAAACCAGCTATATTTTAAAATATATATTTATATTCTAATTAAACTAATTGCAAATCAATTCGATTTTAACTACTATAGCAGTTTTAGAGTTTGTACAAAAAACTTCAAACGAATTATAACTTATACTTATAGCCTGCACGCGTAAGTAGTCTACGTAAATACTCACGGTTCATATCAGTCACCCGATTTGTCACGCAGATCACAAGGGTAAATTTTTTACTATAAAATTTGAGTGATCGACATGCATATGATGGACTCATTTTTCATAGTAAATTGCAACGGTAGGCCTTTTTCAAGTGCCGTTTTCAGGGGTTTCTTTTTAAGAAACCATGTTCACGAGACATAAAGTACTATAGTCTAATAATACAAGTACTTTCTTATTTTTATATTTAAAACGAGATAAGTAATAAATTTGAAAAGAATGCGGCCCTTGAAGTTGGCTTTTTGTTTTATTTTTTATATATAGTATTCGCTTGTTATTTGGCTTTTATAAACTTACCAAGACTATCTAAAAGCTACAAACTACTAGAACTTTTAGAAAAGGTTACAAGCTAAGTTTACAAGGTATGAGTTTTAATTTAAACAAAACTTTTTAGAATTTAGAAATCTTGCAATTTGAAAGAATTTAAACTTGAATATAGTAGTTTAAAGTCAAATGGGTTAAAACTAAAGCTATTACTAAAAAAAAAATTTATTAAATTCGAATAGGTAAACAAGACTTTATTATAGATGATATTAGCTTTGTATTTTAAAGAATTTATTATATTAAAAACCTCTGGGTTGGATTAGATTAAAACTAAGTTAAAAATCGCCAGATTAGAATAGATTAAAACTAAAATACAGTTGTAATTCGAAATATGATTGTGACCCACAAAAAAAATTGTAAATTTATTTATTTTTTTTATTAAAAATTACAAAATTTTAAATAATAAGTGGGCTTGGTACTGGGAAATTGATGAAAAAAATCACTCTCAAAAAATAAATTATCTCATGAACTATTGTTCAGAATTATATAATTTTGGTACCATTCGATTCGTCTTAGTAAGATGAATCAAATGGTACCAAAATAATATGATTATGAACAATAGTTCATGAGATAATTTATTTTTTGAGAGAGATTTTTTCATCAATTTCATCCCTTATCTCTTTTGTCTCTTTTCTTTTTTGTCCCTTTTCTTTTTCGTCTCTTTTCTTTTTTGTCCTTTTCCAAGCACAGCACCAAGCCCGAATAATCTTAAACAGTATATAATCAATACGAATATAATAGTTTTAACACACCGCTCAACAAACCTACAAAAAAAATAAATCTAGTAAATTATAAAACTTTATTTCATGTATCTAAATTTTTTAATTAACAAGTAAAATCAAATAAAATAAATTTAAATAACTTATCTCAGATGAAACTAAATAAAAAAGATAGCAAATAAAAAAAAAAAAAAAACTCTTTCCGTCTATCATCCGTACACAAATTTTCCCAGCTTAATTATTTTAAAAATATCTTATA